ATTCTCTATTGATACTTGTGTAGTGTGGGACATTTTTGACAAGAGCTGATCTATAGGAGGGCTTTCTATTTCATATAATGTTAACTCGAGAAATAAATCAATGTAACATTTTAATTCTAGGTGACACATTTTAGAACATTTATCCAAATAAACCTCACCAAAATGACAGGTTCAAAACCTACACGTTTTCTGTACTCGGAAACGAAAAAATACAGTTACGATAAGTAATCAAGCGTTTTAAGATTGAATACCAATGATATTTGATAATTTATCATCATTTACCGCTGTGTTTACATTTGGAAATTCACGCTTCTACTTTACTTTTTGTTGATAAAGAAATTCTGATATTGGTGTTTAAAATTGATTCTATTAAGAACATTATAAAGATATAGCATGTCACCGGGGAGGTTTATTACATAAAACTCGAAATAAAAGACGTGTCTACATCAAATTATAATTTATTTTGTATGACAAGGCAGGTCACTGTAGGTCAAACAGGATCAAAGAGGCATTGCATGGCCTCGTCTGTTGTTGTCTTTTTCTTCATATATAATGTAAAGACATAAACTTTGTAAGTGGTTATAGGGCGCAAATTCCACACAAGGAAAACCGCCTTCAAAAACCCCAAAGAAGAAGAAGTGGTTATATTATGACGTAACGCCAAGGTTTGACTGGGGTATAAACATATGGTTATCACTGGACATCTCCCTCTCTCATAAGGCAATAACAACCTTGCTAATGTGGGCGTATGTTGGGTTGTTTGTAATGTTTGAATCTGCAGCCTCGTTTGGTCGGATTGTTGGCGTTTACTCCAATGCCTCGTGTAGGGTGTCGCGCTCTCTCCACATTTACCTTGAATATGCATTAAATACATGCCACTGTTCCTTTGAAATTCTATTTATCTGATTTCTCAAATGATTTTCGATTCAAATGCAGCCATCACATATCCTTTATCCTTTCTTTTCCCCATTACATTATATTTCTGAGAAAGAAATTTATCGCATAAAGAAACGATTTGCATACGATTGTTGAGTTACATTTGACTTAAGCACTTATTGGGTAAAATTTTTATTGTGCATCATTGAAAAAAACCCGCATCTTGATCTCTAGATGTCTTTATTATTGGTTACTGGGTTTCTTTAGAACAAAAGTTTTAAACAGCCCAAAACACAAAACTTTTAAAGAGTATAAAACCTATAAAAGGTATAAAAAATAACAACAAAAACTGTCTTAAGTCAACTCTACCTAGTTGGAAATTTCCGTCTAGAAAACGTTGGCTATATCATTTTTATCTCGACAAAGAAGGCTGTTCATTTGAAAACTAGTTCAGATTATATTTCTGTAGTCTCCACTTGAGTATGAAGTGTAACAATATGAAGCTATTCGCATCACGACCATACATTACTCCGTCTCGTATTACCCCTACGGTTTTCATTCTATAGTCTGCATTTTTAAATATTTAAAAGTTGTTTTATATCACGGTCCTGACATGTATTGCACAAATGTTTTTTTTTTCCCGCTATAGTCTCTAAATAAAAATGAGCACTTTCGTATAACGTTTTATACTGCTTTTGATATCATTCTATAACACTCAAGGATTGAAAGCGATACCTGGACTTCTCTAATTCTGCATTACATAGGGTGGTTCGTTTTCATTATGCAGTTTGTATAAATACTCAGCCACACACGGTCCAAATAGGACCGTTATCTGTGATTTAAATTGTGAATTGTGAAGTTCTCTTCAGGGTAACGAACACTCGCAACAACTCTTTTAAGAATCCTTCGATGTTCTATTGCTATAAAAATGTCTTCTCAATCCAGTACTAAAAATACCATCTTTTCAGAGGCAGTCAGAATTTCTTACCATTCATCCCTCTCGACCCACTTTGCCATTTGGATTTATTATTAAATTGTTCTCGTCCTTATTATGCATCACACCACATTTTTGGAAGGAACCACTTGTCAATTGGTTGTCGTATGCAAGAAAGAACCTGTAGTCCAGCGGTATTTGTCGATTATCTCAAGTCAGGAGCTTGTAGTCTAGTTGAAGTCGGACGTCCCAAGACACGGGTTTGTTGTCAAGTGGTTGTCTTTGTATGTCCCAAAACATGAGTCTGTAGTTAAGTGAAAATTGTAGTATGTCCACCGACAGGAATTTGCTGTCAATTATAGTCGTTGTATACCCCAAAGCATGATTTTGTAGTGGAGTGGTTGGCGTTGTAGGCCTCAATGCGTAGGGTTGTTGTGCACAATGCCCGTAGTATGGTCCACGATAGGAACGTTAAGTCCGCTGGTAGTCGTTGTATGTTTCAAGACAAGAGCCTGTAGTCATGTGGTACATGTACATTCAGCCTTTGAATGTCTGAGATCAGGAGCAGTACTCCAGTGACGATATTGTAATCTCAAGACAGAGGTGTCTAGTCCAATGATGGTCTTTGTTTGTCCCAAGGCAGGATTTTGTAGCCCAGTGTAGTTGTTGTTTTCCCAAACAAAGGATATTGTAGTCCAGTGGTAGCCGTTGTACCCAAGACAGGGTTTGTAGCACAGTGTGGTTGTTGTTTTCCCAAACAAAGGATATTGTAGTCCAGTGGTAGCCGTTGTACCCAAGACAGGGTTTGAAGCCCAGTGTAGTTGTTTTTTCCCAAACAAAGGATATTGTAGTCCAGTGGTAGCCGTTGTACCCAAGACAGGATTTGTAGCCCAGTGTAGTTGTTGTTTTCCCAAACAAAGGATATTGTAGTCCAGTGGTAGCCGTTGTACCCAAGAAAGGGTTTGTAACCCAGTGTAGTTGTTGTTTTCCCAAACAAAGGATATTTTAGTCCAGTGGTAGCCGTTGTACCCAAGACAGGGTTTGTAGCCCAGTGTGGTTGTTTTTACCCAAACAAAGGATATTGTAGTCTTGTGGTAGCCGTTGTACCCAAGGCAGGGTTTGTAGCCCAGTGTAGTTGTTGTTTTCACCCAAACAAAGGATATTGTAGTCCATTGGTAGCCGTTGTACCCAAGACAGGGTTTGTAGTGATGTGGTTGTCGGTGTCGCATGTCCAAACATCATTTGCTTGACCAAATTAATGCCTGATTATTTACCATTGACCCTTCTATTTTATCACCAGTCCAGTAGTCAGCAGTTCTGTGTTGACAATGATTAACATTGATGTGGTCATTACTATAAATTAACTGTTTACAAAACTTTTTTCGAAATACTAAGGATTTTCTACCCCAGGAATAGATAACCGTAGCTGTATTTGGCAAAACCTTTCGGAATTGTAGGTCCTCAATGCGCTTCAACTTCGTACTGTATTTGTTTGTTTCTTTATCTGTTATTACTGGTGAGTCTTTTGTAGAGGAAACGCGCGTCTTGCGTATATATTTTTTATCTTGGTACCTGATTAGTTTATTTATAATTCCTTCAAAAGATTATTATGTTTGTGTTATCCTTATTTGTTTTTTCTTTGAACAGATGAGTTTAAATCAATCTATATCAATTTGATAGCAGATAGTACATTTAAACGCAAATATTATAAAAACAAACTATTTTCCTTTCCTATTTACCCTATAGTTATTAGGTATGAAGCAACAAACAAGCCGTTTTATTTTTGATAAGGTCAGGATATAGAAAAATAGCTCTCATTACATACAAATCAGTGAAGTATACTGAAGGTAAAGTATTACCCACTAATTATCATAAGGTATTTTAACAGTGCAGTTTCTAAACATTAGATCTGAAGAGTGCAAAATATTAAACACTGAAAACCAAATCCAAATTTTACAGTAAAATGTTGGGATTTGAACAATACTTTTCATATAATTTTACAATATAAAAATAAGGAGATGAGGTATGATTACCAATGAGACAACTATCCACTAAAGTTCAAATAAAGTGGATGTAAGCAATTATAGACAACCGTACGGCCTTCAACAATGAGAAAAACCCATACCGTATAGTAATAGTTTATTACTGCTGTACTCAAACTTTCAAAGTACTGTTTGATTATTAAAATAATTATCATAACTTGTCCTAGTAATATTTAATATACGGCTTTCCAATGAATTTGTCGTCATTTACTTAGGCAAATCCTCAATATAAATGCAAGAGGCTGGTAATGTAACAAATATAGAAACTTCTACTATTAAAATAGCTCAGGTTTTTTTTTATTTCAGTTTAAAATGATAAATATATGATAGATGTTATTTTATTAAATTCAAAGCGCGTTAAATATGCCATTGGTAAAATTATTGGTCACGGAAAGTGATTTACTCCTCAAGCGTCAGTTTTCAGAAGAATTTAGAAGTTTTATAGAAAAATTGACTAAAAATGTGGATATTGTCTTAAAATAGTTCAGTGTAACTTTAGTTTAAGATGATAAATATATGATCGGTGTTCATTTATTAAATCCAAAGTGCGTCAAAATGAAATATACCCTTGATAAAATTATTGGTCATGGAAAGTGTTTTACTCCTCCAGCGTCAGTTTTCAGGAGAATTTAGAAATTGTTCAATATGTATAAATATTGATATATTACGTACAGTGTATAAAGAAATCCAAAATAACACAAACATTACAATTTATTTATTTGGTTTTACATGTATTGAACTGAATTTTCATATCATCTAAAATCGTTCCCAATGTCCTTACGCAGAAAATGAATTGTAATGGTAATATATTTAATAATAAAAGGCATTTTTATTTAAATTGAACATAAATAAGAGCAATTTAAGTTATGTTTGCTTCTTAGTCGACATGCATCTGAACATACACATTATTTTATATTCATAGATACTAAAAATATAATTGAAATCCTGAAGTTGAATACAAATCTTCGAATGTAGTTAATACGTAAATACATTTATATATGTCAATAGATAGATATCAAATATATTAGTTACTCGGATTTTTAATCACATTTCTTTTTTATGCATTACATGATTATGTAACATGGGAAGTTATGAATGTTCAATAAATAGTTTGAAAGTCATTACAGAAATAAACTAATTAAGCTTACCTCAAATCTTAATTTCCCAATAGGTGGTTGTGCGTATGGAATGCCTAAAAATTTCTCTATAAATTTCCCATGCTGAACATGTTCCAAAACACCTCTAACTTTACCGTTGTCCGTGTGTCTTATAACATGATTAACAGCAAAAGTATATTTATAGCATAACACAATAATTACACAATATAACTGTATATTTGTCATTTTGTAAAATGATGTAGAAAGAAAAGCTCGATCAGTAGGTATTATGAGAGATCGCATGGTTTCCACCTGACTTGCTCACTGGTACACCATTGTAATTGTGATGCGCAGTCAGAAGACTTATCTTTTATAGCAGTTCTCCGTGTACCCGTTCAATCAATCAATGACTACTGGGATAAGACGTTATATATTACTGTAAAATTATTCAGGAAAAATTGACCCGTGAATACCTCAGCGTCTATCAATCGAAAGCCTTAATTATGGGTGGTAAAAATGTAAACGATACCTGGTTAAAGATGAAAGGAACAGGTAGCTTAAAGAGTTACCTGTATTTAACAGGTAATAACTGGGTTCAAAAACACTTTGACAGGACACAAATCACATTCTTATAAAGGTCAACATGTTATGGCCAAACAGTTTGTCGAATTTACATTACAGTTAGACATTTATCGACAGCTGATAAGATGGAGGACATATTAAATTTTCAATTACGCCTTCCTTGGTTTATTGTAGTGTAATAAGAAATCGGATATCAAAATGAAAATACCACTGAGATAACATGATGTTGAAAAAGATGTTTTACCATCACTTGACACGAGAAAAATCTTCTTAGATAGATCAGTGCATTTTATCTGGAATTCGTAAATAAGTTTGTATGTTATGGATTATCAGATATTCTTTTAAAAAAGGCTTTATTAATAGTTTATTACAACCAAACGATTTTATTAATTTTTCTATAACTTATAAAGTATTGTTATACATTTATCAATTACAATTATCAATCCGTTATAAATTATAATAGATCCAAAACTAGCAAAGAAACTTGATTGTATTCTAAAGAGTCGAATACCGAAGGACTATCGACGTGAAAAAGTAGAAAGATACAAAAAACTTCATTAGGTTATAAAAGGCAACGTTACAGTACTACCCAGACCTTACCCATAAAACTATAGCTTGAGCAACACGAACCCTACACAACAGGCGTGAACTAATGTGCTCAGTGTGTGCCAAGGCTCCGTGTTGAAGACCGTACTGTGATCTATAATGGTTAACTTTTATAAATTTTGACTTGGATGGAGAGTTGTCTCATTGGCACTCATACCACATCTTCTTATATCTATATCTGGGGAGATAACAGTTCCTGCTCCACTAGTGGAACCGTTGCGTTGTTCGTAAGAATTAAAATCCTATGATAGTTCACACTCTTTTACAAGTCAAACAAGGAATCTTCATGCTGTTGTGGATACAACAAAGGAACATATCCATGTTCATCTGTGGCACAGATTTGCCGTGACGGTAACCGAGTGATGATGACATAATTTCAAAATTGATTACATAAGGGACCCCTGGTTTAAAAGCTCCATTGTAGTTTAGTTATTTGCCTTCTGACATCTGTTCAGATCATTTAGGATATATAAAGATATTTGATAAGTCCTGAACCGTCTCGGTGGTCTAATGGTAGCGTTCTTGCCTCGAGTGTTGGGGATCGTGTGTTCGATCCCAGCACGGTCAAACCAAGACTTGAAAACTGATATTGCTACTTCTTCGCTAAGCACGCGTCATTCAGGGTCAATAGTGGTCGGCCTGGAGTCGGAATAATGTGTCCTGGTAGGGTGGTATATCTTCCTGTGAACAGTTAAAACCCGGTCAGCGTGTCGGTCTAGTACAAAGCAGGGTTCACATTAATAAAGCATTGAAATGTTCTCGTCCAAAATATTTGATTTGCAAATGGGCGTTAAGCACCAATCATAATCTTTTCCATGAAAAAAATGACACTTAAGTAGTAATTCAAGTTAAGTAACTTAGATATTGACAATTATTGTTGAATATATTAGATTCATTTAAAATCAGTCCCATTTGTAAAATTCCACTGCATAATTATAGAATTCTTGTTATATAAGGCAAGCATATCATCAAGGTAACGGTTAGTGTATATATATTATTGTTTAAATGGAATTAAGATTGATATTTACTTAGTTGAGCCGCAAGCTGTGATTCATAACAATACAGAAATAAGTCTGATATCAAAGAAGCACAAGTAGTGCCCATAAGGATAAATAAATGGAAATAATCTTTATTTCAAGAGGATAATCCCATTAGTTAAAACTAATCTTCTTGAGAGTCCTCAAAATAATGATAACATATATAAAGTACATACAATATAATAATGATATATACACAATATAAAATTTTATATGGATATTAATCTGCCTTCTTCATGAAAAAAATTGTAAAATTCTGCTTTTTAAGATACATATAGATTATAACATGGCATTTTTCATATCAGACCCCTTATCAGCCTTAGGTCATGATATCAGCCCGAGAGCCGACAGGCTCGAGGGATGATTTTGACCATGGGCTGATAGGGGGTCTGATATGAAAAATGACATGTTATGTTCTTTTTATCATACACTTCAGCAGAAGCCATACAGACATGAAAACTTTTTTAAAACTTTATAAAATTCATTTATTGTATTATTTGTTTTGCGTTTTTTAATAATATATTTTCCTGTTTCCTAATATTCCTTGTTATTCTACTTGGCTATCTTTTTCACTGAAATGTACCACTGAGGTTTATTTTCCGGAATTTGCAGAATGACGTCGAAATGCTTTGTGATTACGTTAAAGAAAGGCATGCGATAATAACCGGAAGCAGTTGATATAAACCGGAAACAGTTGATATATACCGGAAGCAGTTGATAACAAACGTCATATCGCACGGCTAAGACAATTCTTCAAATTTATTGAATAAATATATGTATAAATTAGTTTTATCAAGGGGTACAATTATACCATTATTTTCTACAAGTATATGATAAAAGTGTATTACACATCTTTCTCTTATGGTTGTGGCCATTTATCTACCTCTTGCATGAATAGATATTTCTCGTATCACACTGTACGGATTGTGATACGAAAAGGTGATACGAAAATCTTCGTTAATTTGATTGGTTATCCAGCATCATAAGACGATATCACGGCATTCCCATTGGCTATTCGTTAGGTCATTGATGACTTTCAAAGGTTAAGACGATGTGCATTTCGTCCATGGCAACGGACATCTGTGATTTCTTCAATAATATACAAAACACTCACACTCTTTACCCGACAATCTTCTCTTTGTCAAATTTATTACATTCTGAAGCGTACAAAAAGTCTTAAAATGTCTGATGTTAAAGTTTGACACCGGAAAAGGACATATGACGTCATACTGGCATGTGCAAAAGACTAAATCAACGATTCGCGGAATTTTTAATTTAACACAATGATAGTGTTGACCTTAAGAGAAATAGGTATAACAACTTGTGAGAATTGGATATCTCTTGACATCAACTCTCGTTATTTAATTTAAATAGTAATAATAAACTCGCCGAAGGCTCGTTTATTATTATATTGAAATTAAATAACTCGAGTTGATATAAAGCAATATCCCATTCTCACTCGTTATGAAACCTATAATTATTTCATTTGGTAAACTGTTCCATATTTGAGAACCTGAATATATAAAAACAAACATCCTCTCCATAAACTTAATTGCCCACTATCCACCACTACTACATTGTTAGCTGCTTTGTCAGTTGAATAAGACTCGAGTGTATCCTGCAAATTACACCTATATGTTTAATAAATTTATTGAAATGTAAGTTTCTTTTCAATTTACTACAATTGGAAGTTATCGTAATTCAATTAATTTCATTGCTAAAATGATTGAATATTTTTGCAATGTAATGTCGGCTGGTACGAATACAAAACGATTGCGATTACTTAAAGTTTGTGTCAAATCCTAAAAATGAGCGTGTACTCAATTTAGAAAAAACAATTTGGTTGATGTTGACAAGCCAATTACATGGTACTGATGGACGATTTAACACAATAACTGATGTTTTGACGCAGTCGTTAACATCCTAAGTGTTAATGCTAATGACATTATTTGTATATGACGCATTAGCCATCATACTCTGTAGGCATACATGTAGAAAGAAAGAAAGAATTTCATAAACATTGCTCAGGCTTCAAGTTTTTGTGTATCTTAATTTAAATTTAATTTTCGGGAGTTTTCTGTAGTAGACAACATCTAAAAAAGCGTTCAACACCCCTAATTATCATTTATCAAAAAATGACCGATTAGAAAGCGGTGCCATATGGCGGAAATAAATCATTTATTGTTTTGTTATTAAAACATAAATATTTCTTAATAAGCAATAATACAACACCATAGTATTAATACAGGAACAATAATTAATCTACTTTAAATTGTACTGACAATTGGGTTTCAAAATTCGTCGGAAAGAAAAATCAAGATATTGAATAGTAGGTTCAAATACCGAAATTGAAAACAAAAATAAGGTAATATCTGTAGTGTGGGAAGTGAGTTTCAACTTGAACATGAGCACGAACCTTGTACAATAGGGATAATTTGTTCTATGATTCAAAACTATAATAAGAATAAGAATTTTATTATTCTAATCAAGAACCCATAAAGGGCATCATTTTACAACAACAACATGCACAATATGATTGGGAAAAAAAACATAAAAAAAAACAAGACCCTAATATAATTCTATCATGTTATGGACAGGATCAGAGCCTAACACATCATTGTGTCTTATATAACTATTACAACATATCTCGTAATAATAAAATATCATTAATTTTATATATATTGTTTCCACAAGGATCTTATTTCTAAACACTGAATAATATAATTTCCTAGGCACATAAGAGTTGGTAAAAGCTCATTTGTGAACAGCCAGAAACATTTTTTATCCTTGGGTAATTCTTTAAAATTAGTACAAAAACTGTTTATTTTATCCAATAATAATTTTCTCTGTTCGTTATATAAAGGACAACTTACTGTAAAATCGGTCTCATCTTCAAAAGAATTTGATGCATGTGATAAGAAGTAATGACATAGTCGCTGAGTTCTCTCTATGTATTTTTTACTACATCTATCTTTCTCAACTCTAAGATCATGAGCACTTATTCTCATTTAACATATAGCTCTTCTTATATTAAAATCTTTAATTGATAAATAAGCCTCCTTTACAAAGTCAGTCTTGAGGTTGAAATAATTTTCTAATTTACTATTAACTTGTGATAAGGTATCAGATCTTTTGGCCAACCAAAATGTTTTAAAACTGTCAC